ATTATATTGTATTGTACCTCTATATTCACCTCCCATATTTTTATTCTCATATAATTTCAGTTTATATTCAAAGTTTTTTCCCTGTTATTACTTTGTTAAAATTTACATTTGCGTTTTTAGAAGTTTGCCCGGGGAAATTCATATATACATACATGGTTGTTAAATATTTGATGTTACTGATGTTAGCATGCATAAAAACATTTTGTTTTCCAAAAACTTTCTTTCTTTTATCAACCAACCAAATATCATTATGTACAAAAAATAGAATTAGTTACAGTACAAATTATGAATAAAGTGCATCATACAGCTGTTGTTTTCTCTTGGAATCGTCAGTGATGCTAAGTTTCTAAGTTTTGAAACCTTGAAGGCGACATATGAAAACCAATATTGATCGAAAGAAATACCAAACTGGTGCTTTAATCTCATAATCCAATAAATTCCGTAATATCATATCGTGTTATAATACCTATGCATGTACCTACATTATTAGGGTTTGGACATTTTTTAAAATTGTGAATATTGATTTCATTATTCAGTACTTCTAATTGTTTTGTATTTTTTCCTCATTTCTTATTTCTTTTGTAATGTGTTATTTTATATTTATGTGCATTCTGTTAAATGGTTATTTATGTCTCCAGTTTTCATTACAGTTTTGTGTATACATATATATTATTTTCACGTGTCCTTGGCTCTCCGTGCGGTTTTATATTTCCTCGGCGCCTCTCCTTTTTCAGTTATCTGTCGAAATCGTTTTCGGTGTCTCCCAAATTTTGGTTTTAATATCACTTCAATTGTTGTCATATCCTCTGATCCTGGCGATAATTTTTCGATTCTCCTCGTTGTCGAAATTTCATTGAAATTAACAAAATGTGTTATTTATACACGTAAACAACTTACGGCGTCACGATTCACCACGCGTATATATGTTAATAGTTTAATTTCATTATTATTCATTCCGTGTAAGTTTGGTGTCAATGAATTTATTTGTACTTGTGAGAGAAACTTATATATTATACACATCCACCCACATGTATAATATGCGCGTATAATATTGGTAAATATCGAATAAAATATTGTTTAAACTAAATAAGTAAAACAAAATGTGTTTATCAGTTATTGTAAATATTAGAAAAAGCGCTTCTTATCTATACATTACAGAAACTGACAAACATTTCAAAAAAGTGTCCTCGAGGAATTTGAATCACTGTAAAATGTCCAGAGTTCGTACTTAATTGGGTATGTGTTATAAAAAGATGACATTATGTAATAAATATTGATCGTCAAAGTCCTGGTGATTAAATCAACATATTAAGTTCTTGCATGTAATCGATATTTAGAATCGAACGTAAAGTAGGTTGTTGAACATATATCGCTAAATCATACTGATCTTTACCCTTCATAAAATCACATGAAAGACACTTACATAGTAAAGGAAATTTCCTCGTTCGAAAGTCAGAAATATGCTACGCTATTGCATTCAAAATTCATACCTAAAGGAGGACCACACTGTCTATCAATAATTGTACTGAAAATACACTCACCTTGTTTAAACATGGTATATATGCGTCGGTAATTTCAGGGTAATCTGGTCATCTGAGACTTTGAATATCGGAGCTTACTTTATTACCATGGAAAAATATACGTTTCCCATTAAGTTTCTTCATAAACTTGTTTCAAATAAGGAATGCCTTTTAACAAAAACCCTCTTTTTTATCATCGAATTCAATATTTTGTTAAATCATAACAAAATACTGTAGGATGTTCATTTGAACAACCGCCATAACATAACCAAACTAATCTCCATGAGTTCAGTGGTCAACGAACAGATGGAAAGAGTTCCACGATTTGAAATCGTTAATATGTATATCTTTATTTTAAGCATCCGTACTTTTTTACTTACTAATTTGTGAATATTTTAATCGAACAAACTAATCGCGGCTAGATATTTAATTATATTGTATGTCATTCCGATTGCGTGATACTTTACGTTCCTGTTGATATTAGCTGAACTTAGCAATTGGAAGAATCTACTAAAAATGAATATAAATGTCCTTACTGCAGTGGATGAATGGAATTTGTCTAAAACGGACACAGCTTGGAAAACGTTATTTGGATATCTTCATAAGATCGATAGTCAGCACTCAAAGTCAAATAACTTATTTTCAAGTATTCCTTTCATACAAAAGGACAAAAGTATATCTAGATTTCTTCCATTATGCAAACGTTATTGCAATTTAAGATTGATAGCCTCGTAGTTGAAACTTGAACATTTTTTCCGAGGGTGTGGATCTCCCTATCTCACCAACAAAGGAGTGCATGATTAGTTTTCTCTTATTCTGCTGATTTTATTAGGTTCTCATTTGTGTTTTTGTTGTCCCAATACCTCACAGTATTAACTTGTTAAACGTTATTGTCGTCAGTGAATTGTTAATGTGATGTTATATCTTTGTTCTGTCTCAAACTTACGGCGCTAAGAGGTGATTACACTCCGGAAAAAACATGATCTTACCTGTTAAAGGTATAAGAGAAGTTTATTTCCTCATGGTCACAATATCAATATAAGACTTTCAAAATCAGGATGCTGGCTTTCAAAGATTATCTTTTGACTAAAATGTTCTTTAACCTGTTTTATCAAGTCCTTTGACGTCGCATTATTTCAGCTGGAATAGTTTACCATCAGTCGTTTTTTCTGTGTTTTTTTTTCTTTATATTGATGATTTTGAGAATGTTCTTATGTCTTAACTCCAAACATGGTTTGCACAGTGTATATTAATTTGTGTATTGATAAAATTCACTAATATAAGCATAAACCCTCTTGGACATTATTACGCATAAATACCACGGTGGAATGTCTTTCCAGCAGGTCTTGTCCTCCAGGCAGCCACACCCACTATGATGGCGTCATAAAATCTTAACTTGTCCCTGTAATTCTAATTTATACACAATGTTCTTACAGTGTTTTAAAATCTGACGAATTCAAAACTCATTAATTGTCGCTGAGAATTTGGTGATACTTTTGTGAATACTCATATTTCAACGGATTATAATAGAATATTTATTGAGTCCCATTTATTCTCGAAATTCAGTGTTCGTATTGTATGGAAAATTCGTTAAATTTGAGCCAGCGAAAATATAGGATATTACAGTCGATCATGGAAAACCTTAACATTGTAAAGTTGTAACTTACATTTCTGTAGTACACATTTTTCTATATTCCCAGGATCAGGAAGTTCGCCAGGAACTCGTTATAAAACAGAAATTAAGTAAGAAGGCCGGAGAAATTGCTTCCAGTATGTCTAAATGTATGATATAAAATGAACTATCAAGGATAAATCTAGATTTTACAAACATTAGTTTGCCAGCAAAAAGCAAAATGTTCAGGACGAGTTTCATAAATCTACCACGAAAATGGAAACTCACTGAATACTCTGTATGACTTTATGTTCACTTTCAAAGACAAATATGACAGTGTCTGCTTTGATATCAATATTAACAACAATGAGAAAGTAAAGCCGACCAAGGCCACTTGATGGGTATTACAAAACGAGTTAACAGAAGGAATTATCGTGCTGATGAGGGCAGACGTACAGACTATCTTTGTTTCCTCTTTGCAGAGATTAACACACAGCATGTATTTTAATAACAAATATATATGTTAAATTCCTATAGAAGAGAGTTCATTTATGGTACCAGGTCAGTAATATTAACCATCATTGTAGCCCACTTGTCTCGCTCACGGTATGTATTATCTTTACTTCCAAGTAAAGAATGACATTGTCTTTCTTCTGATAGGTGATCGAACAGGACATACTCTGATACATCTAATGGATTGACGAGGAAGTCTAGAATTTTATCGCGACTTTTCAACAATGATGAACACTGGATTAGAAAATGGATAGGGATATGGGCAGATGTTTTTTACATAGCCTACATACCACTATATTTCTTTCGTATCGATAGTTTTACGAGCTCTCCTAACATCCATGCGTAATCCAGAGAATTAGATCTGCGCTTGGAATAAAAAGAACTGAAAGTTTTCAACATTATGGCAATATTCAATGCATCTTGCCATTTGTTGAAATAGAACTCCCCCACTATCATTCGAGCAAAATTTCTCCATGATCTGCGGGTAGGACAAAAACCGTCAAACATAAAATTCAATAAAATTGACGATATGTCAAGCCTAGTCGCAATTATGAAGTTTGTTACCAAATATTTTAGCGCATAGCCGAACTATAAAGAGAGTTTTCCCCAGATATATTCGTTACTTGTAGAGTAAAGCTTGTTCCAGAGCAACTACGGGTCATGTGTTGAACTGATACATGTTATGCTGTCATGCTTAATGTATTTCAAATTAAACTATTTACAAAGAACGAAACAGATTTTCGTAAATAGATAAACGCTATAACGACAAATTTCAACGATATCATATTATGAATAATTACTGATATTATATTAAGTATTTACACGGCAATCTATATTTCATTCTTTGTGGAAAGCTAGATTTTGAATTAATAAATAAATATGACAGCTGTTCTTAGGTCATTTCTCCTTGTAAAATGTTGGTAGATTTTCTTTTAATATGAAAATTAAATGATTTCATTGTACATAGATTTAATATCATGTTGATGATAATGAAGAGGTGACTGCGCAGTGGTTTTGTACTTTGTTTAAGGTGACAAAGTTCTAAGGGAAACTGACTACGGGTGACACAAACACAAGGTAAATATTACATTGTATTTTGTTTCCCAAAGAATGTTGATAACATTTCATGATATAAATGTATACATGATGCCTCAGTAAAAGATGAACTTGTTATATCCGATATACATGTAATGTATCGACCTAATTTATACTGAAGTAGTAATAACTCGTTTGTTAAAAGCAAAATGAAAGAAAACATTTCGAGATTAACACTACTAAATAACTAAATGTGAAAAAAGAAGAGAAAAAACACATCTTCAAATTACATAAGTTTTAAGTCTTTTTTTATTCTAACAATATAATATATATTTATTAATATGTACAACATAATTGTATATCAAAAAATACGTTCACAGTTTCACAACATTTACACATGTAAAAGTGTATATCCGTGCGCATCGTCACATTACTACGAGATCACAGAAAGAGAGTTCACATTTATGTGAATTTCTGTCGGGATCGTGAACTGCTCCATCTTCAAATACAATGTCGCCAGATAACTTCATTGAATTGGTTCTTTTTTTAAAGAATATATCTCCTTGATTGCTCGATTTCCTGATCAAAGGAAAGTTTCTCATTTTTCCGATAGGGTGTTTGTGGGTCTGATATGAGATTCTGTGGTAACACGACACGGTTTAGAGACAGACACGCACTCGTCATACAATAATAGGAGTTAATAGTTAATAAGTAAGAAAATAAATTAAAACGTCGACATGATCCGCAATGATTGGTCAAGTCCAGTTCGCCGTTGTGACGGTTTTTGTTGAGCACCTGTTGTTTAGAACGATGGTTGACGAGGAAAAATGACAATTAATGATGAGACTTCCAAGACTTACGTCACGTGATCACATCGCACATTTCTCGAAATATGGAGAATGGTGAAGAGATGTATTCATGCCGTTGGTACTGTAGGGAAAATATGACTTCCGGTCGCATGACGTGTTTTGATTATAACTCTGAGGTGGAAGTCTCATACCTGAAAAATATAACAAAGAATCACCTTTAAAATATTATCTTGATAATACAACAGGTTTTATAAGAAAAGATATATCATCGCTGTTTTCAAATTCGGTAAATAAATGTTTTCTATTTTCATTAAATCAAACACGCAAATTTCATTTTCTAGAAACCAAACAAAAGGGCAGAGACTAAATCTGTAAATAAACTGAGTCACACGAATGCTTAAACTGGGCGGATTCCCAACAGCGTAGCAGCCGCATTAAACAACATTGGCTGGTGGAGATACTCGACGGTAAATGTCATCGTAGAAATTACGAATCGGTAAAAAAAGAGCGGATTATTAAGATAAGACAAAGCACCTACGGACATACGGATCTGGAAATAGCTTTAACTACTTGGCCGCGATTTGTTGAGTAATGCTGCGACATATCGCTATGAGAAACCTAGCGATAGTAACACTAAGAATTTCGTCTGTTTAATGTTTCGCTTCGCAAAAATGTGTTTTTCCCGTGACTTCTTGCTCCGATTTTTCGTCAAACCTATCCTTCAGCACTTTTTACATTACATAAATGGTATCGTCTAGTGTACAGCTGTTGGGTCGCGATTTGTGATATTTAACGATCAAGCCAAGCTTACACACGTAGCTTCATTGGTGCATGCTAACTAGTCATTTACTGATTGCGAGAATATTTTTTATCTGAGAAATGAAAATATAATTTGTCATTTCAAAATGTAATCAAAGTTCAAAATGACATGCATATTCATTCATTTCAAAACCAAAACTTCCGTTCACAGCGTAAACTTTTGTGATATTAGGTCATAATGTGGTATAATATATTAAGACCAATGGGTTATTTTACATGATTCCCCATTTTATTTGAAATTGATGAAATGACTTCAAAGAATTATATATGTCTAAATTTGAAATAAATAAAGTTAGCTGATAACATGAATTTTGAGAGTTTTTTTTCAAATTTCGCAGACAATGAACTAGCTAAATCTGATTTGCGCAAAAAATGCGAACATAACGTTTCAGCATTTTCGCAAAAATCCCCATCTAAAATATACGGTAATCAGCACAAACTTGGTAAAACTTAGCATGAGATGAAAACAAGAATGACATTATTTTATTATATAACTGAGAATTATCGCCAAAAATGTAGATTATCGAAAATTCAAATACTAATTTCAAATATGGAGGAATTTATAAAAACATAGAGAAACAAAGAATGAAATTATTGGTTGGTATCAAGATAGCTAATGTGTGCAATACTACGGATTAAGATATATAGAATGATGTAACAATGCTAGCTATATGCTTTCTTATAGAGCTACATGTATGTGGGACAGCTTGATTTTAGTAGATATTGTTGACAAAGATAATTTAAACACATGAGACGGATCAGAATTCCTTGTATAGAGATAGATCATATATAATAACTTTTATTGCACTGGGTATGTCAGAGGTAACTACGTATAGAACGTCAAAGAATGTGATGTATATTGAGTTCAGCGAAATTATATCTGCCACAAATGGTAATCTGTTAAATGCTACACTCTAGTCTTTGTTATAGAATAAAGACTCTCTTTGTTAAATTCGTTTAGAAACACAAACTTGTTAATATAGCAACATCTTTCTATATATTATTAAAACACATCAAATGAAGCGTCTCGTACCGGCAACGTAAATTACAAACTTCATATGCCACAATATATATACTGAAATGATTATCATTTCCATCGTTCAAAACTTCGTCACAGATTTAAAACAGAGTATATCTTTCAGGTACGTTATAAAACAAACTATAAATTTTGTTTACTAATTCTATGCTAAAGAAATCATTTTTTTGCGATAACATTCCATTCTCGAGAATAAGAGCCCCTCGAAAGATACACCATTTACAGTATTCAGAAAAAACAACATGAAAATATTAGCATGGCACCACGACACCTGTTCACGTTCTCAAATAAAAACAAGGTGTACAAAACGGCACAAATAAGCAAACTAACGAGTATCAAACACGTCCAGCTTAATTTCGTTCAAAACAATAGATTTTTTCCCAATGAGACCTCTATGACGACCGTAAAACTTTCCGATAGTTCCTATCAACCTGCATCATTTGAAAACCTGTGTTACAAGTTTGTCCGTCAGATGACGACTTCTTGCACGAAAATCGTTATAATGGGGACAGGTCCTTGAATATCGAATCAACTGTGACATATAACTACCGTAGGTTTGGGATGCAGGTATATTGCTATCCAGAAATAGAAATTTCATAATAGGGAAATTAAAATAATCAAGTTTATAACTAAACTATCTATTGTAATGATACTAGTTCATTTCATTATTCATAACATATATTGGCAATTGTAATATATATTTAGTTCGAAAACGTACTGAACTGTAGGAATCTTTAAAACCAATTACCGCTGTTATCAGGTAGCATCATATATTACATTTCGGTATTCTAGGTATTTATCAAAGTTCTCTCTCGATATACTATGTATTGTATATTAGTAAAGGTATATTTCTATATTTTGTACTCTTTGACGTTATCTTCCTATATATGTAACGGTTTATTTGATATTATTTACGTCATGTATGAGTGTAATCATTATATGAGGGGTTTTCGACAAGATACACAAGCATAATTGTATTGTATGTTTACCTCTTTTAGCACATGGAAGTGTGTCGGAATAATAAATCAATCTTCTAAGCTCGATAAAGTTACAAAACTGTTGATGTAACACTATTAAAGTGATGCATTGGTTTCCATGGCAATTTTCATAGCAGCTTCAAGGATTCTGACAGAAAATTATCTTTTTGTTTTCAATGTTATACTGTTTTGTATCCAGCTTTAACCCAATCCTTAATATTATAAATGCTTTATATCATATAATTTACACGTCAATATAGCTTTATATATCTTTATATACATAGCATTAAATGTATATTGATCCACACGTTGTTACACACTACTGAAACATATAAGTTGTTATTATAGAATACTGATATATGTTGTTTTATACAATACTAATATAAGTTGTTATTACACAATACTGATATAAGTTATTTTACAATACTGATATATAAGTTGTTATTACACAATACTGATATATAAGTTGTAGTTACACAATACTGATATATAAGTTGTTATTACACAATACTGATATATAAGTTGTTATTACACAATACTGATATATAAGTTGTTATTACACAATACTGATATATAAGTTGTTATTACACAATACTGATATATAAGTTGTAGTTACACAATACTGATATATAAGTTGTAGTTACACAATACTGATATATAAGTTGTTATTACACAATACTGATATATAAGTTGTAGTTACACAATACTGATATATAAGTTGTAGTTACACAATACTGATATATAAGTTGTAGTTACACAATACTGATATATAAGTTGTTATTACACAATACTGATATATAAGTTGTTATTACACAATACTGATATATAAGTTGTTTTTACACAATACTGATATATAAGTTGTAGTTACACAATACTGATATATAAGTTGTTATTACACAATACTGATATATAAGTTGTTATTACACAATACTGATATATATGTTGTTATTACACAATACTGATATATAAGTTGTTATTACACAATACTGATATATAAGTTGTTATTACACAATACTGATATATATGTTGTTTTATACAATACTAATATAAGTTGTTATTACACAATACTGATATATAAGTTGTTATTACACAATACTGATATATAAGTTGTTATTACACAATACTGATATATAAGTTGTTATTACACAATACTGATATATAAGTTGTTATTACACAATACTGATATATAAGTTGTTATTACACAATACTGATATATAAGTTGTTATTACACAATACTGATATATAAGTTGTTATTACACAATACTGATATATAAGTTATTACACAATACTGATATATAAGTTGTAGTTACACAATACTGATATATAAGTTGTTATTACACAATACTGATATATAAGTTGTTATTACACAATACTGATATATAAGTTGTAGTTACACAATACTGATATATAAGTTGTTATTACACAATACTGATATATAAGTTGTTATTACACAATACTGATATATAAGTTGTTTTTACACAATACTGATATATAAGTTGTAGTTACACAATACTGATATATAAGTTGTTATTACACAATACTGATATATAAGTTGTTATTACACAATACTGATATATAAGTTGTTATTACACAATACTGATATATAAGTTGTTGTTACACAATACTGATATATAAGTTGTTATTACACAATACTGATATATAAGTTGTTATTACACAATACTGATATATAAGTTGTTATTACACAATACTGATATATAAGTTGTTATTACACAATACTGATATATAAGTTGTTATTACACAATACTGATATATAAGTTGTTATTACACAATACTGATATATAAGTTGTAGTTACACAATACTGATATATAAGTTGTTATTTTCTATACCGTTTGTCTATATTTTCTTCTCCGCCGAACTAGTGTACAAGTCTATAAACACTAGACGCCGGGTGGTCCACTGGAGGAGGGAATCGGTTAACAACCATCTGCTTTTACACTTGGCCCCCCTTCCATGGCAGTTGACATTTACAACCCCTTTATTTGTATTGAAATACTCAAGCATAATCTAAAATAATATAAAATCGGTAATTCTTCTTTGTAAATAAAATTGGATCCTGTTGGTAAACCATACGATATTTAGCAGTATTTCAGACCACCAGTTAGAGGCCATGCGCTCACAAATTATTTTGACCCCTCTGGTGTTAAAACAACACACAGGTAGTGAGATATCTGGGGAAGCGGCGGCGGAGAGACAAGTATTAACATATGGCAGAGTAGAGCCCCAGTTATCAACCTCCCTATCATTCCGAAGACTCCCATAGTATTATCGCTGGTTTCATCTCAGAACTCCCCTATATATATACCCATGTGAAAAAAGTAAAAAATTGAATTGTATTTC